AGTAGAATAAACACAGCCTGTCAGCCTCGTGACCTGTACCTAGCATAACGTGAATGAGGTCAGTCTCAGGGACGCGATTGGCCAGGTTCTATGTTTAAACTGCTGTCCATTACCAGTTTAAACATAACATTATGTCAGGTGGGAGGAATTATATATTCTTTAGAGGAGGAAGTGGAGAGTAGGCAGGAGAACTTTGACTGTTAGACGAGCGAGCGACCGCCTGCCAGCGGACTGCGTGTGAAGTGAAGCGACTAAAGCACGTCGGACAACATCTTCGAGAGTTTGCCTATATGCAATGGAAGCAAAAGCCGTTAGCCGTCTTCTCGTACCCCTTGAGATTGGAATTGCACTCGGGCTAGAGGAAACTAGTCAACGTCAAGTAATGCGGCCTAGAACCCGACTGAACTACCAACACAAAGCAGGAGTCGTCTACCCTAAATGCATTAGTGACGGGGAAGTAAAATCCATCCGAGAAGATGGAAGGCTGCCGAGGTGTAATGGTCGACAACTCCCAAGCCAGAAAGTTGGAGGGATAGTCATATGGACAAGCTTTACTGATGCGAGGGAACGTACACGAAGAGCAGAAAGCAGAGGCCTCAAACAATCTCAAAAGACAAATGTCAGTCGTTGATGTTCTTAGCGCCATGTGCGAAGCGCGCGCGTATGGTCATGTCCGTCCACAGCCTATCAACTAAGGACCCTGTGTCTATTGGCCTTGATTTTTCGCCAAGCCAGCGCAAAGTTTCGCATGCTTCAAGCCATCGATTGACAAGACGCGAAGGCAGAGTTAGTGGCCACATTGAAAACAGTGACAGCGGGTTGATACAAGGTTTCTCCACACTCACGCGGCTGAAAGCACGTCAACGGTAGTTGGTAATGACATCGACACACAAGTCGTGACTGATTATTTTCGACTAGGAAATAACTTGCAAGTTTAACAAAACCGGAATCCACGAAACAGATGTGAATCCCACGGAGCCTGAGCTGTTGTCGCCGTTGTTCTCCGTCAAGGAACCTGTTGACTTCCCCCAAAGCATTTACTTTCTAAGCAAGGTAAGCACGTGTAGCAGTCGATTCAGTGTCCTCTTTTCTGACTTCTATTTGTCAGCCGATGGCTGCAGTAAACATGCTAACCCACGGGCACACCACCAACGCACGGCCACCCCTCAGGTTTCACTTGAGACGCCTTCTGTCCAGCTGTGCTGAGTCACAGTTCCGCGCATCGGCCGGTGTGATTTGGTCCCATGGGACCTTGTCATTATGTTCCCCGAATCAGCCCTTG